GTGGCGCGGAACTAATTGCAAAGGAAAAAGCAGAGTCATGAAAGACATTTCTGGCAAAAGCCAGCTGTCAACTTGTCAACTCTGGGGGAAACTCCAGCTGAACATCCATACCTTCCTAACCCAGCTCCCATCGAGGTTAATGGAGATGGCTTTGCCTTTCTTCAAACCTCAAGTGAACGTGTAGGAGTCGTGCACAGTTTGGACGTACAGAACAGAGAGGAGCTGAGGTTAGATACAGCCAGAAAGGCAGGCAGCAACCCTGCCGCATGGACCAGCTCTGCGGGAACTGGGGGGGCAGGGCTCCAAAACCCTCGCTCACTGCCGGCACCAGGACATGGTGCTGCAGATCTAACGTGATCTGCTGGTTATTTTAAATCTGAGTTTGGTAGGTCACTGAGCCACACCGAGTTTGAAAGCCAGGCTTGACGTTTGTACATTTTGATCCTCACAAAAAGCCCTAGTCTGTTCTCAAGATAAATTGGGCTCAGCTGAAGTTCAGGACAGCTGGACACCTCACGACAGAGTCGGGTCACAGGCAGCTTAACACACAGCACAGAACAGATGGCAAATATTTTCCTGAAGTTCTGAGCTTTCACAAGCTAATGCAAACCAACTTCACAAACGTCTCAGACTTCACTACGGTTCAACTCCAGACACTTTACGCACATCTACCAGCACATCCAGGTCCACACGCTCCCCCTCGCTCAGGGTCAGCCCCCAGCAAGACTTTCAAAACCAAACTCACGCCACACGTTGCCTGTACGGAGCCGTTCCCCAGTCCCTTACCTGGACGACGGGGTGCCCTCCGGTCGGCGCCTTGACGGCCCCTCGGCTTCCCTCCGTCTCGTAGTGGGCCCGGTGGTGGGGCTGGGGCTGTACCTCGATGCGCAGCTCGTAGGAGCCAGACTGGCCGAGACGGGCTGGAGAGCGGCCACTCAAGGGGCGGGAGCGACTGGACTGGCAAACTGGGCAGGGAGAGACGACATCAGCTTTAGCGCTTTATTTCCCAAAGCCCCGATCACTTCTTCCTTCAAGTGCCCCACTGGGGCTGCTCTCGCTGGAACGTTTAGGAGTCTGCTGTTAATTTCAGTGAGAATATGCTGTCCTGCTCACGCTTGATTACAAACCCTGCCGAACTTCAGGATGAACGTACTAATTTTTGTGGGCTCATCTCCTTGCAAAGAGAACAGAATATTTCTATTTCATAAACAGAAATTATCTGTAGCAGTTATAATTTTTCAAAGATCCCTCATTTTCATCTAGCTTTTCCTGTGCATCTTAAACTTTGATCACAGAACATATCTTGTGAAATATTAACTCCATTTACTATTACTTATCAGTTAAGTAAATTAATAATCTTTATGATTCCCATAAATATTAAAATGCACATGAACAAAATGCTAAATATTCTTACCTGATACCAGTTTTCCTGTTACCAAAATACATAAGGGTTTATATCATGAAATTAATACATTGAAATGTACAACTGGAGCTTGAACTGGAATTTAAACAACTCTTATTTTGTCAGTACAAACTGCTGCCAGGACCAATCTAACCAGCCAAGGAAAGTCATGGCCCGCATTCTTTCACTCCCAATCTGCGTTTAGCAGGTCGGGAGCAGCACAGGACAGCGTCAGCGTGGGGACAGCCTTGCTGCCGAGTGGGATGGCAGGGCTGACGGGGTGCCAGCCATGCCCACCAGTGCTGTCTCGCACTTGGCAACCTCCGTCCTGGCACACGTGCACCGCGCGGGGTGCAGACCTGCGTGCTGCCAGGGCCAGACAATGGAGGGAGTTGATGAGGGTAGTGCCAACGGCTGAGATTTGGCTCAAACAACAATTAACAAATTAACAACCAACAATAAGTCATCTGGTGTTGACCGAATGCTCAGTCTGCCTTGGAGCAGCATGCTCTATTTTGAATCCAGAAATATTTAAAGCATTTTCGTCCTTGATGGAAATTTGTAATCAAGACATTCTCTGAATTTAGAAATGCATTCAAACCATTTTCTTTAAAAGCAGCAGGATGGAACCAGCGTGTTTAGCCCTTGTCGAAGGCTGTCTGCAATCTGCTTTGTAGACAAATAATTTGTAAATATGAATTTGTTGTATGCTGTGCTATCAATGAACCACTTTGCTGATGTTTCTTCCAAATTTAGATTTTTTTTCATCTCTCAGAATCACAATGGATTGGGCTCCCATTGACCAGTGCTGTCCCCAAGCACTTAGCTCTGGTCTGCAGCAGGATCTGCCCAAGAAAACACTCCCTAGGGATTACTACACATGACAGAGAACATCACGCCATGAGAAAATACACAGCCACAAGAAGCATTACATACCTGCAGATAGGTATTGCAGGCACCAGTTGCTTTGTCCAGGATGGAGGTACCAACAAAATTGATTCCGGGGCTGAATTTCTCCTGTCCTCCTGCTCGCAAGGCCCGTGGAAGTCAACAGTCTGAAAGACGTGACATGAAATGCTGTTTTTTTGGGAATGCATTGATGAAGGATCAGGGCTGGTTTTCCAAATTTTCGTGGGAACACCACAGGAAGGATCCGTAGGAAGGCTGTTCATAGCATCCATGGAAAGAGAAACACTGGGCAACTGCGTGTAAGTAACTGAAGAGTTGTCTTCTCTCAAGGGGATGCGAGGAGAGGATTGTGGAGAGGGGGTCCTTGACTGTCGTGGAGAAGTGGAAGGCAGCTGAGTACTGTAGAGCTCAGTGCAAGAGTACCTCCGTTTTGCACCTGGTGATGAAGACCTTGAGTTGGGACAGGGTGATGGTGAATGTCGTCCCAAGCAGGTTTCCTCCGTGATGCTTGTTCGTGGTGACATTATTGGAGAGGTTCTAGGAGAATAATGAGTATGGATGTTTTGAAACTGTGGACAAAGGTCATCACTAGGACCATTATTTGGTGAAACACATGGTGATGTGCAAGGAGATACATTTGTCTCTGAAATGAAACTTGCAGAGGAGCCGCTACTAGCTGGGCTCAAACACAGTGGTTCTCTGTAGCCCTCAAAGCCAGGGACAGGCAGGGTAACCCTTGGGCTAGTGGTAGCTGAGTTGGACTGATGTTCTACCAAAAGAACATCTGTGTCTCTGCTGCGGAAGGGACCCCCTGAATGAATCAGTTCATGATATGGAGTAATTTCAATCCTAGGGCTTGGAGCAGAGGCCCCTGCAGCGTTGGCAGGGTGCGTAGGTGTTGTCCCTATGCTATCTGGCTGTCCATATCTGCCCATGGGATCTGCAGAAAGGCTAGAAAAAGGCAGGGGGCATGGCTTGAGGCCACAGTCCAAGACATCATGAGCGTATGTAACTCCAGAGGGTGGGCTGTTGGTTTTATGTGGAGTCGGTTCTTCTGGAAAAAGAAGGGTCTCTTTAAGACTATAAATATTATTACAGAAGCTGAGCAATCACGGATTAAAAAAAAAAAAAGCATATTTATTAAACTGGTTGTGATCTGATATTAGCTAAATATTTGTTTAATTCTTTTTAACTGCAGTTAATGCTTGTGAAAAGTACCGGATTAACAGCCAGGGAAGCTCAAGTGCTCGGAGCAGACGCAGCACGGACAGAAGCACTGCAAACACCTCCACACCACCCGGCTGGGCTCCCTCTACCTGAGCCCTGAGCTAGAGGGATCACCTCGAAGGATCGGCGACACATCAGCCCCTCTGCCTGCTTCAGCGTTGGCCTTCCTACTCCTTCTGCCAAATACACCCCTTAGTGCCAATTGGGGTGTTGTGACTTCGGTCAACTTTGTCAACTAGGAGCTGGACTGAGACCACCACATCACAAAACCACTTCCAAATAGGTCTGTGTAAAACCAAAAGGTTGAGGAACAGCTTTTGGTGAAGGGAGAGAAACCCTTCTCACACAGCAAAGTCCAGCCAGAAAAGGCTTCATGAAACCAAAGCTGCGCTCAAGCTCTCAAATTAAAAAGTCAGTTCTGTGTGATGATTTGTTTGGCTCCATATCATGTCAACAAGTTTTGGTGACAGGTTTCACATGAGAAAGCACCAGATGATCAGAAAACATTGACAAATATTTGTTAGAAAAGAGAGAGACAGACAGACAGACAGGATCCAGCCCCACGGTTACAGGCAATCACTTCCCAGTTTCAGCTCAAGGAACGTTTTGGATAGAGGGAGGTTATAAAAAATACAATTACAGGTAAATGTTCAGTGCAACCCTCTCTCCTAGTTCTAAAAATCCTCAATTTTCGGAGATTCTCAGTCTGGCAAACTACCTCCAGGTTGCAGAGTACAGGGACACTTCTTAGCAACATAGAATTCCCACCAGTATCGCTGAGCCCAGTTCTGACCTCATTCCAGCAGCCCATCGGGTACTTAATGCCAGCGGCATCCGAGAGAGCAGAGCCATGCCAGGCATCCCTGGGACGGGCCCCTCAATGTACATCAGCTCCTGTAGCTTCCCCAGCCTGGGAGCTGAATAGTATTTGTCGTTACACATAAGCATGCAAAATACTATCAGGATTTCTATCTTATTAAAGATTTCCATGTATCCAGCGGAAAATATCTGAAACAGCTCCACAGTTTGAGATTAATTCGCACTATCTGCTCACCCCTGGGCACAGAGGGTTTCATTCACATGTTTAAATAACTGTTCTGGCATTTTCTCCAACTCCTACACTACATGAGGCAGCATTCCCATGAGCAAATGATATTGTACGTAAAGCCAGGTAGAAGCTGACTGTGCTTTCTGCAAAAGCAGCAAAAGGTCTTTGTGGAACTTTTGCACACAGAGACATTGTGAATTAATTTCAGGGGGTTTCTGTTTGTTTACAGTTTTAAACACTTCTTAGTGTGAAAACAAAATCCTCCACTGATTTTTGACTACTACATTTTGTGCTCAATGTTTTGCACAATCTGGAGAAAACTCCACAAAAAGAAAAAATGTAGCAGGAACTGCCGAGCCTTCATGTTTAGCAGGAAACCCCGACAGCTGACCAAACAAACCAACACACAGAATGTGATGGGATGGGAGACAACCAGGAGAGTCCAGCTTGCAGATTTCTTAAGGTTCCCTCTGGCTTTTAATCCCAGCACACAGCTGTTTTGGGGATGGGGAAAACAGCAATGAGCAACCAAATTTTGAGCCGAACATATTTTTAGCATCGTTGATCTCAGATATCAGAGCTTTGGCATTCACAGGAATATCGCGTCATTCACATCACTCAAACTCTGACACATCAAGCCTAGACACTGATGCTACAATTCACTTTGAATATGATTCATCACTCCTTTGCATTCAGTAGAGCAACACACCCCTCCACAGTCACACAAAACATCACTCCCACCGCTTTCAGAAGAATCACTCTGATCTAAGCTGATGCAAGGGAGCAAAATCAGCACCAAGCAGAGCGCGGCTTGATGCCAGGACTTGAGGCGAGATTCACACAGTGACCAGCAGTCACAGAAAAGCTCTCCAGGCTGAACAGCATCCCATCAAGAAATAGGGGACCGTTTCGGTTCCCCACTCAACACACCTACAGTGAGAGCTGCCCCCACCGTACACATTAAACCGCATTATCTGTGCCAGACACACAGACAACAGGTAAAAAATCACAATTCCTCACAACATGTGTTGAGCAGCAAAGGTGGCACGTATAGATTTGCGTTGAGGGGTATGGGGAAAGCAAACATATATTTGCACGTGAACATGTAATTTTTGAAGTCTTCTGAATAACAGACACACAGCACCACCTGCACTTTCTGCCTATTAAAAACTGGGCTTTAGACAACCCAAGTTTTCTTTGCTTTTCCCTGAAACACTGTGTTTAAACGAGCACTTTCACCCCCGGCATTCACCCTCCAAGAGGATCCATGTTCCAGATATTTACAACAACGTTGGCGCCCAACAACAAGCCGCAGCGTGCCCGTGCCTCCAGGCAGCACCCTGCAGAGCACTCCTCCGCAGCGCTTCCCTGGCCGTGCAGACCGGGACTGCTCACCCAGCGCTCGCAGGCGCCCTTTGCCAAGCAGACAACACCCACAGCCTTCTGCAGAGCAAAAATATTTAGTTTCCCCCCACCTGGCAAATCATCAAGAAAGCAGGCAGCGGCACAGGAAAGCGGGCAAGACTGCAGACAAGAAAACCTCGGCGGG